CAGAATTTTCTCTCTCCTCTACTTCCCCACCCCAAAAACATATAAACAATCAAGAAAGAAAAAAAGGCCACATAGATCTAATATTGCAGCATTACTGGAAAACCAAAAAGAAGTGCAACCTTCAAACCACCTCTGACTTCCAACAGACCTCCTATTGCCTTATACTGCTACAGGATTCGGGATGGAAAGTGAAAAAGAGGAGGCTTAAAAGACTGCACAAAAAATGGATAACTGAAGACTTGGAGGAAACAGACAAATTTATCCCCAGAAAGCAAACATGCACAGTAACACCAGCGTGCTGTAGTCCAGAGTTTTGGGCACAAGGAAGTAAAGGGGAAGCATGAAGTAACAGAGGAAGATTATTAAAAGGAAGACACGTCATCTCTCCTCAAACCAAAACACCACCCTTCATAAAACAAATAGCATAGAACACAGAGGGTAGAAATAAATATTCTCAAACTAGAAACCCTTTCCAAGCACTAAGAACAGGGGAGAAGAAAAGTGTTTCTTAAAAAACAAACATCTACTATAACGAAGTCCTAAAATACAAATAAAGTATTTTTGCTGATGAACTCCTCCATCCTGTCATGATCATAACCAATCATGATCTTAAGAAAAACTTCAGCATAACATTCAAACCGAACTAAATATTGCCAAACAAGCAAATGGGAATACAAAAATACACTGAATCAGAAACACAAAAACTAAAAACCGAAAAAAGCAGAAAGAAGAGAGGAAGGGAGAGGATTAAAGGGAGGGGGAAGAGACAGAAAAGAGAAGGGAAAAATGACAAGGAGGAAGTATAGGAAGGGAGGGAGGGAGGGAGAAGATACGAAGTAAGAAATGGCCTGGCCAGGCGCAGTGGTGCACACCTGTAATCCCAGCACTAGGGAGGCTGAGGCAGGAGAAGACTCCAAATTCAAGGCCCACCTGGGCATAGTGAATCTCTATCTCAAAAAGACAAAAAAGAAAAGAAAAGGAAAAGAACAGAATAAACAGAACAGAACCTAAGGCAGGAAAGAAACAGAGTAGTAACGATTTTAAAAGCATATAAAAGCAGGGGACATAGCTCAGTGGCCCAGTGCCTGCCTAGTAAACCCAAGGTCCTGAATTAAAACATAAATAAATAAATAGCTAGCTAGCATGTGAAAAATGAAGGTTCAATTCTAAGGTATACAAAGACAGAGAATAGACTCAAATGAAAACTTACTAAAGGGTCCTGGGAAACAAAGTAAGAAAATGTAAATAAGGCAGAAGAAAAGTCGTCGAAATGAAAAGAAAGGAGGTCAAATATGTGCAACAGGGGTCTCTAGAGAAAAATTAATACAGAATAAATAACTATTATTTTAAAAACAGAAATGTGGGGCTAGGGATTTAGCTCAGTGGCATAAGCGCCTGCCTTGCAAGCGCATAGTCACGAGTTCGATCCCCAGTACCAAAAAAGGAAAAAAAAAAAAAACTTTAAAAAAAATTAAAAAATAAAAATAAATGTTTTTCAAAATATTTAATGTTACAATACAAAATAACTTTTCAAAAAAAATGAATTTGAATTGACACAGAGACCTCTAGGTACCGGAGCAAAATGATCTAAAACAATCAACTCCAAATTCTGAAAACTTAGTCCCTAATGATAAATGAAAAAGAAATCATCAGATCCTCCAGGTGAAAAGAGAAAACAACCTACAAAGTCAAGAGAATAAGACTGGTATCATTTCTTTAATACCACTTAACAGTGAAGCAGCATTTTCAGAAAACTTAAAAGGATAACTCAAAGACAGAGTCACTCACGCTTTCTTTAAAATATTAAAGACACAGAAAAATAATTTAGAACATTCCAGAAATCAGAAGATATTCAAATGTGCCTTTCCTGAAGAATCTACCAAAGGATAACCTTTAATCAAAATATGATTTGTGAAACTTTAAGGACTAATGTTGAGTATTTCATCTACTTAACTGGAAAGCAAGGACTAAAACAAAGGTGAATCACAGATTAAAAAATAATAATGTTCCTTTTCTTATTGTTTGGCAATATTTAGTTCCATTTGAATGTTATGTTGCAGTTTTTTTTTTAAGATCAAATAAAAGAGCAAATCATGTTAATTATAAATTTTAAACACAGGAAAAGAATGCAAAGCATTTCAAATGATTTGAATTATATTCATTACAATTTTCATTAAATTGCTATTATAGCATCTAAATGGGTAAAAGCTATTTATATTGAAAAAAGCATGAAACATTCATAACACAAAACAAATATATTAAACTTCATGTAGTTAGTCACGTAGAACTTAGGATACAGAAAACAAGTTTTCTGATGTAATAGTTTTAAGGTTGGTAGCAAATAATTTAACTATAGCAAAAATAAATTTTTAAAGTTTGAGAAAAGGTTTATGATTACATTTAAGGTGTGAGGTTATTAAGTAATTCAAAATACATAAAAACACATTTTACAAAAGAAAGTGATTCACATAAATTTACTTTTTCCGATCATACAATTCTTAGCCTATATTAAAATAACTATTCACATGCAAGTAGAAATAGAGATTAGAAACCATAAATAAGAAACCAAAATAACAAATTGTCAGACTAAAAATAAATTAACATTTGTTTAGTGCTTATCGCCTATTTATGAATTGCTTAGCATAATCTCATTTAGTCCTCACAAGCTTATGAAGATGGATATTTAATTATTTCCATTTTATAGCCGAAGACATTGGACATAGAGAATTACCTAGCTCACATGAAGTCACAGAAATATAAATGGGTGAATCGGTACTGAAACCCAGATCTGACTGACTTCATGGTTCATGCTCTTGACTCAGTTACGCTATTCTGCCTAGCATCTTACTTATCAACAGTAATTTAGCCTAGACTGTTTCCCATAAACAGTCTTTCCATAAAAGTCTTAACTTCATAAAATAATTAACTATTAAGGGTGGTAGCCCAGTCCTCTAGATGAACATTCCAACTTTTTTCTCTTTGTGGTACTGGAGGTTGAATGCAGAACCTTCATACTGAGCTACATCCCTTTTATTTTTATTTTTTATTTATACAGCCCTTCTATTTTTTTTAAATTCCAAAATTTTGAGACCGGGCTAAGTCACTAAGTTGCCCAGTTTGGACTCAAAGTCTGTGATCATCCTGCTTCCGCCCCACAGAACACTAGGATTATAGGTGTGCACTGCCAAATCCAGCCAAACTATCTTTAAAAGCATGAAAAATTATATTGTCAGCTTTCCACAGCCCCTATCTCTCCGTCCCTAGAAGTGTGGTCTGTTCTACCCAGCAACTCAATCTTACGTTCCAGTTACACAGAAAATCTAGCACCTTCATGATGAAGCAGACACCGTCTTTCTCGCTACCAGGCCTGCTTACACAATTTCTGCAGGACAACTTCCTTTCTTTTCTCAACCTCACCTGAACTATTTCAACTATTACCAACCTGCAATGACCTGCAGCTCCTCAAGAGAAGCTGGCCTTGTCTGCATTTCCTGCAGTGTAGCCGTCTATTCTGTCCTTCAGTGTGCAAGCAAAGTATTTAAGAACAAGAATTTTTTAAATGCCAATTAAGAAAGAAATGCTTGATAAGGTTACTGAAAAAGATAATTTATATTTTAAAACTGGACCCTAATTACATACACATTGATGGTATAATTAGATAATTTATATTTTAAGACTGGACTCTTTATATACATATTGATAGTATAATTAAAAATTATTAGTTTTAATAACTTATTTATTATTCAATCTGACATCCAATGGTAAGTTATAATCTTAACTTTTAAATGAGGCATTAATGTTTCAGAAAATTAGAAAACATTATTGTAAAATAATTGAGTATTTTATTTTTCTTACTAAAAATATAGTTTCATTTTCTAACAGAAGACTATACTAGTCAGTAAAGAAATAAACAGGTAAAATCTCTTGACAAGTATCTATCATTTATTATTGTGCAAAAAAAAGAACTAAGTTATACCACAGATCATCAGTCTATTATACCTTAGTAATACAATCTCTATCGTATCAGTATGAAATATTTCCCCCTTTTTGATATTACTAAGATTAGAATTTATGTCATCTTAGCTCACTATAAGTGCTCTTTTATTCCTGAATATTGCTGAATGTGTCCAAAATCATTTTTTGGCTTGGGCAGCCCTCTGAATGACTAATGAGCTTCTCCACTGATCCAGGAGCATGTTCTTGTTTTATCTTATCTGTCTCTGAATTTAAGGCCTTCTAAGAACAAAAATATAAGCCCATCTTTACCTTATGTATAAAATTCACCAGGCACACATAACAATTTACACAACAGCAGGAAGTTGGCGAATTTTCTGCTAATCTGTGTAGGAATTCCATGTTTTAAGTAAGATGAAGAAGTATATTCTGATCTAACTAAGCAAAGGCTATTATTTGTGAAGTAAAAATTGGAAGACCAATGGATGGGAGCCTACAATATATGGAAATCAGCAGAATTTAAATTTCAGCTCTAAAAAATGATAAATAAAATATAACTACAGAAGAACAATACAGTAAGAGAATGCCCTACAGTTCTTTCCTCTGATAACTGTAACAATATTACAGAATACTCTAATAGGCAATGCTAAACCATTTAAACCTTAACTATCTTTCCTAAAATTCATTAAAAACTTTCAAAGATAGATGAAATAGAAACAAGACTGCATCACCGCTATAAAAAAGCAACCTGTCTGAGGAAATTTAAAAAGAAGTTTTTATATTTAAAACTTTATTAGGTACTAAAAAACTTAAATCTTGGTTAAACTTAAATGGTACTTAAGTACCATTTAAGATTAAAGTACCATTAAAAATAAACTTAAATCTTGGTTAAACTTCTTAGGTACTAATAAGCTTAAAACTTTATTAGGTACTAATAAAAAGAAATCTTGGTCCTCTACAAAGGTCTTTCACAGTAATAGTTCTTCACAAAATTGTGTGACTAGCCTGTATTTTTTTTCTCATAATAAATTTGCAGTTATATTTACCTTCAGATCCCATGATGAAGTGATGGATATCTGGGCCTGTTGACATCCGAGGTCCTTGACAACTTTTTTCTATCACACCTCTAGGTGTTACCACTTTCATATGAACCACCTGTTTAACACAACACAAGATATAAATGCTAAGTGTCAGTCAATGCGTGCATGCATACATACACTCATATATTTACACAAGACACTATTTTTTAAAATTTTGGGTTAGGGGATTTAGCTCCGCAGCATAAGCGCCTGGCTGGCAAGCACGAGGTTGTGAGTTCACTCCCCAGTACCAAAAAATACAATACAATACAATTAATACAATACTGCATTAAATGATAAATTGTGATGCCATTCAGAATTCTAATATCTTTTAGTAAATCTTTAAGGTAAAGTTGTATGTATATAACCTTTTAAGGTTATAATTACTGAAAAAAAAAAAAACAAAGCCTTTCTAAGATTACTATCCATCTCTTGATTTAAGTTGGTTTAAATATATTTACTAACTTAAGAATGAATGACCATTTTTTTTAAAGAAATGTAGTGAGCGTTTTCTATAGGACAAAGAATTAAATGACTATAAAAAGTAACACTGATAACATGTCACAGGTTCATCCATTCATTTATTTAGTGTCTCCTTACATAGTGCTTACTTATGGAGCACTGCTATTCATGTCAGGCACTGCAGCAGATGCTAAGAATACTAGGGCAAAAATTATTCTTGCCTTATTCCCACCTTCAACCCCGTTTTGGGAAACAAAAGAATGAAAAGGATGAAATATTAATTATAATGACATTGAAGTCAGGGTAGGAATGGGGATACAATTCAGTGGTAAAGCACTTGCCTAAAATGTACAAGGCTCTGGGTGAGATCCCTAGCACCCAAACACAAAATAAAACAAAACACATCCACAAAACCCCCAGCCAGCAGTGACTGAACTAGAGAGGCGGAGCAGGAAATACATGTGATGCATTGCACAGGTAACAAAATAGGTACAATGGGAAAGGAGGATCATCCCAAAAATAATTCTTGATATCTGATTAAGAAACAAGTAAGAATCCACCGTATTTTTATAATAGATTTTTAAAAGGTAAATTACAACCATTTATTTATTATGAAGAAAGTGAGCAGAGACATCAATAACCAATTCAGAAAATAAGGAAAGAGGACATTTTAAAAGTTTACATGCAGTACCAGTTAAAGAAATACTAAATTAAAAGTATAAGTAAAAAGTTCAGTAAAATACAAAGAATCTCAGAGTACTATTGAAAACATCAGTTGGTTCAAGAGTTGTAGAGGGCAATTTGACTACAAGGATCCCCAGAATTCATAATGTATCAATTTTTTGCCCCAGCAATTCAACTTTTAGATGATTACCCAAAGAAACTGATCAAAGATGTGTCCCCAAGAAATTACAGAAAACGGTATTTCATGTAGTTTTTAATTTTGAAATCAAGAATAATTTAAACACTCACTATAAAAGAACACTTTAGCAAACGATGAATGAGCCACAGAAATTACATGAAATCTAAAAATGATAGTGTATGGCTAAGGATACAGCTCAGTGGTATAGTGCATATCAAGTAAACACAAGGGCCTCAGTTCAATCCCTAGTACCACAACAAATGTAAAAGGTAAAAATAACAACACAAATCTACATTCAATCACTCATATTGGGGCTGGGGATTTAGCTCAGCGGCATAAGCGCCTGCCTTACAAGCAGGCAGTCATGAGTTCGATCCCTGGTACCAATGATAAAAAAAAAAAATCACTTCAATCACTCATATTACAGTGTTAATATAAAGAATAAATCAAACATTGTATGAGCCTCTGCTTTATATTAAAAACTAGATATAGCTATGTATTTGTGGTATACCTAGAAAATGGTCATGAAAGATAAAAACAAAAAACGTTAAAATTATTGGAAATACTTATGTGTATTTAGATATAAAGCATAAATGACTCTTTATACTTCTCCAATGTATACTATTATTTTTTAAATAAAAAAGTAGTTTTCTAATTATTTAAATTGTAACAACTATGACTTTAAAAGAAGGTTTTTGTTTTGTTTTGTTTTGTTTTTTGTCTTTTTGAGACAGGGTCTCTATGCAGTTCAGGCAGGCCTTGAGCTCACTTTGTAGTCCAGGCTGGTCTTGAACTCACAAGGATCCTCCTGCCTCAGTCTCCCGGCTCAAAAGAAGTATTTTTTGGAAAAGAAATAATCTATCACATTTTCCTTAGAGAAGATACAGAATTTTTAGTTTGATTTTATTACTATAGATTTTAATTTTCTTCTATCAGTGTTACCTAGCCAAAAAGTACAGCACAGCACCCTCCATAAACAGTGGATTGTGGCTAATAGCCATTCATTTGAATTCAGCAGCATCAGAAAGAAAATACAATCAGAAATGTTCAGGAAACCCTTGAGTGAAGAGTCATTAAACTGAGGATACTTGACTTAAGACTGCAAATGGAATTCCTTTAAATGTCCTTGAAAACAGAACTTAAGTTTAAAAATTTATTCATATAACTTAGAAAAGTACTCAAGAATTTGGAAACTTCAGATTACACTAAAAATGTAGACCAAATAACTTCAACTTTTTGTAGCCTAAAAAACTTTTCAGCTTTTTCAAACAGTTCAATAACGTCTCATTATTAGTGTACTTTGAATATGTGCTGGTATTGATTAAATAAGTATTAATCAGACTTGCAAACCCAGCTACTCAGGAGGCACAAGGATCAAAACTTCAAGGTCAGTCTGGGCAATTTAGCAACACCCTAGGTCAAAATAAAATTTAAAAAGGGCTGGGATCAGTAGTACAATATCTGCCTCACATGTGTAAGGCCCCAGGTTCAATCCCCAGTACAATGAGAAAGAAAGAAAGGCTAAGTAAATTAAGATTGTTTCAGAAGATACAAGTTGTTCCAAAAAGTTTTAGGTTAAAATATCCTGAGTAGGACTAGTGCAAATAAGTACATTAGAATGTACACTTACAATCTATGGTCATTAACTATCCTCCAAAATAAACAGCATGCTTCAACAGTACTTAAGTGTAGTTGTTTATCAAGTATTTGCCTCATTCTAATACAGTAGTAATCCAATAGCAAAAAGATCAAATTTTCTCCATTGCAAATAAATTTACATTGTTTTAATTGCAAAAATAAAAATACAATTTTTTAAATGTCCTCTATAAAAGAAATAAAAAGATGGAAGTGTAGTTCAGTACTAGAGAGCTTGCTGAGCAGGTGAGGCCCTATGTCTATCTACAGCACCACAAAAAAAAAAAAAAAAAGAGAGAGAGAGAAAAAAGAGAAGAGAAAGTGAATGTTTATAAAAAGCTCACAATAAAGACAAAAGTCTTAAACTATTGGCTATTAATTACAAGAAGCAGTATTTCACGAAAGATTTGATATTCCTATCATAGAAAATATTAAGAAAATATTGAAACTTCAGATTTGAAAAATGAAGTCAAACAGGACCAGGAATAATGTTAGAAAAAGGACAAGATTTTTTTTTTTTAAGACTATTATCAAAATATTGACAATAAGGAAACTACCATTTACGGAACACCTACTATATACCAGAGACACTGGTGAGTTTTTACTGTATATCCTTTACTCTGCATAGTTCTATGCAGCAAATATATATTATTCATTTCACAGAAAAGGAAACTGAATTTTAGAAGGGTAAGCCAATCTGCACAAGGTCAAACAAATGGAAAAGTTATAAATCACTTGAAAACCTACAAATGGAATAAATTATATGTAATACATAAGTGGAGTTATACACATTATCACACTAAGTCACAGAAATGTGGTAACGGATAAGCAAACAAAATGGTAAACACATTAAACATGATGGGTTACGTCAATGCTTAACAGAACAATTTCCATTAGGTTCTCTACTTCTATATAGGAAAAAAGTTGTTTTCAAAAAAATGTAAAAATATCCTAAACTAATATTGAGTAGCAACACTGAAATCACCTCAAGAAATACAGGCTGGCTGTGGTGGTGCACGTCTCTCACTTCCAGCTCTCGAGGCCGGAGACAGGAGGAGTGCCACAAATTCAAGCCTCGCCTGGAGTCCACAGTGAGTAACAGATGTGACTTGCTCTGTTACTTAGCCAGAGCAAGACACTGTCTCAAAACAAAAAGAAAAAAACAGACTAGTATTTTGAAAGAACAGAAGACAGTTTCCACTAGACAAGGTAATATTTGTATATTTTACTATGAAACAGCTACAAAGCTAAATATTAGTCACTTGTAAAAATGACCACAGTTGTCTTTTAATTGCTTCTACTATACATATTCAACATTACTATAATCAAAAGGGGTCTACATAGGGCAATCTATGGTCTGTTCTTAAATTCTTTTTCTTTTATTTTGCTTTTTTTGGCAGTCTGTGGATTGAACCTAGAATCCCACATGTTAGGCAAGTCTCTACCGCTAACACCGTCCCCAACTCCAATACTTAATTTTTAGAGGCTTTTACTTTCTTTATAATAATCTCTATATACTAACAATATTTATATAACCAGAAAAAAATTCACCAGATCCTCAATATTTCCATAGATGTTCTTCTTCATGCCTGATGCCCGAGTAGATATCCATCCTCCCACAGTGCTGAATTCCAGGGAATCTGGTTCATGACCTGTACAATAACCACTTTCTTTAAGCTGAAAAACAAAAATATAACATTTTGCTAGTAAAAATAATCCCATCTCAACACAAAACAACACCAACTTCTCCCAGTTCAACATTTCCAGAAATCACTAGTATTCATTTATGAAAACCTCTATAGAAAAAGAAATACAATAATTTTACTGTCCTAAAACGAATCGAACAGAAACTAAGCTTTTGCCTAGCAGAAAACTTTATAAAACTGAGAAATGCAGGCCAAAAGAAAGCTGCATTTTCCATAGAATCAATGGACAATTTTACTTTTTACATTCTTTTATTTTAAAGCCATCCATTCTTCCTCAAAGAGACAACTTAAATACTTAGGGAGATCGATTATGCTTATTTAATTGCCAATTTCATCTACCGTATACACTCTCCAAAAATAATCTCTCATTCTCCCTACCCTAATATAATATGCAGCAGGCCTGCAGGAAATGTGAGCAAATTGCCTGTACTTAATTCTCTCAAGGAGTCAAGTGTTACAGCCATCTGGCTCAGTTTCCTGCATGTAATACCATCATTTATTTGTGATGTGGATCATGCATTCCTGTACATTAAATAGTCACTTGTTTCTCATTTTTCTATATTAGTTTGGCTCTGCCATCTGTACAGCACCTGAGGTTGAATGGATGCCCTTTACTGTAACAACACCAAAGCCATTCCACTGAAAGCATTTTAGAGACTGAGCCATCTCCTGTCAAATGGTACAGACACTACCATCTGCATACCCACTGTCTCCTGCACGCCAGCCCATCAATCTGTGTTGACCATTTTGATAGCCATCTACTTAAGCAACTGCTTTGATTTTTCAAGTAAGCCATGCAGAGATGTAAAATATGTCAGGTATGGTAGAAAAGTTATAATCCAAAATTTGAAAGCCTATTAGGTTAAACATGATTTGTTAGGTTTTACACACCAGCAATGCAAACTGTTTATCTTTTCAAGTTTGGCTGCTTCAAAAACAAGATTTAAGACATAAACTGTTACATAAGATTTTTCTCATTATATATTCAACACATTTATTCAATTTAAAGAGTTTAATAACCACCCAACAATAAACCAGTTATATGGCTGATTAGGGCCATATAACTAAAATGAAGATTATCAGATGGTTACATTTCTTCCCTAACTAACCTTCATACAGTCTATAATGACATTATTTTCTCTCGAAAGAGTACTGCTATTCAATTTTATGAAATTAGGAGAAGACATTCATAGAGCCCTAAGATGTAGTAGGCACAATACACAGTTCTCATATATCCTTATGACAAAACCAATCTGCACACTACTTCCACAAAAGCAGAACATTAAATACATAAACTATTTCTATCATCATATTCAACATGAGATATACTATCAAATTGTTTCTTATGTCTGACAGGCTATTTCATTATTTTCAGTTGTAACTAGCTACTATGTGCCAGGAACTGTATAAAGCAACAAAGATAAAAATTCAAACAACTGTTATATTGCTATGCTGAGGAGCACAAGCTAGCACACCAATTAAATCTACATCCTTTCTTTAAAATCTCGCTAACTTCCTACTATGTAAGTGAAGTAAGTATAATGTTTAAAAGCTTGGGTTTGAGATTTATCATTTACTTGAGCTAGAAAATATACTACATCATGCTAATTTAATAAAAAACAATTGTTGCATATAGTAAGTGCTTAATTAATGGCATCCACTATCACATGTATTCATCCATTTCTTCCTTTAAAAGTCTGTTAACGTCATTAAGTACTAAGAAAAATGTGCTGACAGCCAAGATTAATTCATACACTTAACCAATTATTCTTTAAGTAGTGCTAGGAACTGAACCCAGGATTTTGTGCAACTGGTCTACCAGTTTTATACATCTGTAGTCCCAAAGTATTATTTTTAAATAAAATAACCTCTGCTCCAAACTACATAGCATAAAGAGATCTACATCAATCAATCATCATGTTCCATGTAGCGCTATGGGAATACGCAATTTTATCTTACTTCTGTGTCTCCCTTCAATCAAAACAACAAATATTTACTGACCCTGGGCTGAGTATTAGATACAACATCAAAACAAAAACCGTAAATTGTGGAAGCTGTACAGCAGTACCCCCCTATCCAAAAAAGATACTTTCAAGATCCAGGGATGTCTAAAACTGTTACTAGTACTGAACTCAACATAGACAACATTTTACAGCTTTTCTCTGGCATATCCAAATTGCCAGCATCACTACTTTTGCCCCTTGGAGCCATTATTCTGTAAAATTGTTATTAAGTTAAAGATCCACACCAGTAACCCTAAAACAAAAAAAGAAAAAACTTACTGCTAATAAAGTATATAAAGGTAACTTTTACAATATCAACCTTTAAAAAAGCAGTAAATGGTTTGAAGAAAAATTTGATAAAAAATATTGAAAACAAACACAGATTGAGTATCCCTTATCTGAAATGCTTAGACCAGAGAAGCACTTCAGGTATTTTTTCAAATGTTAGAGTATTTGCATATACATAATGAGATATCTTGGAGTGTAAAACAAATCAGAACACACAAGTTATTTATATTTCATAAACACCTTGAACACACAGCCAGAAGGTAACCCTTATACTGCACTTTTAGGGTGCCTGCATTTCAACTATAACCCATCAGTGTGAAGCCAGTGTGTCACCACACTGACATTTCAAAAGTTTCAGATTTTGGAGCATTTCAAATTTCAGAATAGGGACGCTTCATGTATAGCAAGAGAACAGACTTAAACAGAAAGGGCAAATAAACTGCAGTGAAGCTGAATGGTATAAATATTCTCAACGTAAAAGAAACAACTGTCAAGTAAGATAAACTGGAAAGACCCAATCATATACTGCCAACAAAAGAGGCATTGTAAATATAAAGCTAGAAATGGATTAACAAGAATTTTTTTAAAAAACAGTGAAAATATATCATGCTAACAGTAATCAAAAAACTTCGGTGGGTATTTTAATATCAAAGTTGACTTCCGAGGCTAAGTGGGCGCAAGCGCCTGCCTGGTAAACACAGGTTCTGAGTTCGATCCCCCATACCAAAACAAAAACAAAACAAAACAGAAAAAGTTGACTTCAGATCAAAGAATGTTGTTAGAAATAAAAGTCATTTCATAAGGACAAAAAGAGTTCATTAATAGAAAATATATCACAGTCTTAAATATTCGTTCCCTAGTAAGTTTTAACATATACAAAGCACAAACTGTTAAGAACTACAAGAAAAAATGCACAGATCTACAATTATAGGTGAACATTTTAATGATCCTTTCAACAAAACTAGCACAGAAAACAGAAAATTAAAACAAAGTCCTGAAAAATACTGTAAATCAATTAGACTTAACAGACATTTAGACTACTCCATCGAACCGTAAATGATACATAAAGTGCACATGAACATTTGCAAAATATACCACATTGTGTGCCATAAAACAAGTATCAGTAAATTCAAAGGATGTAAGTTGTATAAAGTTTGGATTGTGTTTTTTTTAACACAATGGAATTAAGACAAATCCATACCAAAAGTTTCCTAACTGGAAACTAAATGACATACTTATAAATAAATCAGTGAGTCAAAGAAAAAAACTAAAAGGGAATTGAAAATGTAAAATAAATGAAAAAAACAGACATGTCAAAATTTGTGGGATACCAACAAAGCAGTAGGTAGGTGTAAATTTAAAATGCTAAACACCCTTAATAGAAAGACAGACCTCAAAGTACCTTAACTTCTGCTATAAAACAAAACCAAAAAAAAGTCATTTGACAAATCCAACATTCACTCCTAATAAAAATGCTCTACAAACTAAAAATAGATAAGGACTTCCTCAAACTTTAAAAAAGAACATCTAGAAAAATCATTCAACATATACTACTAAGTAAGGCTTAAGATAAGGCTGTGAACACATCTCTCTTAAAACAGAAAAAAGACAAGAATATCTACCTTTCTTTTCAACACTGTACTAGAGGTTCTGGCCCACACAATCATATGAAAGAAAAACTTTAAAAACCCAGGATGAAAAGCAAAAATGTTTCTTGACTCACAAGCAGCATGACCATTTATGTAAAAAATACAATGGAATCTAAAAATAAAGCTCTTAGAAGTAATTAGTAGATTTAACAAGGTTGTAGGACACAAGAATTGTATACAAAAATCAATGTATTTCATAAGGAGCAATCAAAAACTTTTTTTTGAAATTTGTAAGAAAGACGGCCATACACCCTTTAGCCCTTGCTGAAGGTATCAATAAGGAAGCCGCGACCTTTCATCTGCAGGTGACGGCCACACAGTCTCTTCGCTCCCGCGTCCCTCTAGCGCTCATCTCCCCAGCGCCCTCGGTGTGTCCCTTCTGCTCTGCAGCTATCTGAGCCGCGGCTGCCGGCGTCATTTCTTCTTTTCGGCTCTCCACTGGGACTCCGCTGGGACCGTTTCCTCATCGCCCTCTGCTCGGCCCCAGCCCCAGCCCCAGCCGGACTCCGGCTTCTCCTCCTCCGCTCCTGCCGGCTACAGCTGTGGCTTCCCCTGCTGCCCTGGCTTCCTTCAGCTCCTCCCCTCTCCGCGCTGTGACCGCGGCTTCTGGGCCTCTGCTCAGAATCAGCACGGCTCCATCTGCTGCTCTTCTCCCCACAACTCTCTGGTTTTATAAAGCGAGGCATTTCACTGGCTTTTTTCTTGGTACTGTGACTGCTTGAGGGCTCTTCATAAAGTCTTCTCTTCTTAGATTTCTTCTCTTCAGAAGCACTGTTCTTACCTCCTAAGCACATGTGTTTTCTTTTTTTTTCTTTTCTAGTTTCTTTCCATTGTTATCACTATTGATTTCTGGAGTCTCTGAAGAGAAGCAAGAGAAAAAAGAGGGTTTGTGTTTGGTTTTGGGTTTACTCCTGTTTTCATGTAACTTTTTCTTTACATTCTATCCAATTTCCTGAGACATTTCTGTTTTTGTTTGGTTGTTAGTGACTACGAATTCAACTACTGGATCTTCTTCACCATCACTTGCAAGC